GTCCTTTTGTTGATTTCTGTTCTCTATACAGCTGATGAATATTGTGCTTTGTGTTTGTTTTTGTGTGCCACGCTTTATTTCGTTCAAAAGCTAAAGGCGCTGCTGCCGTTTTCATTTATATGCACACACAGTTTCACCCAATCGCCCACACTCGCGCGCCTTTGAAATTGCGTACTGTGAGTGGTATGATTTCTGCGGTGGCCACTCGCCACATGCCACATGCCACATGCGGCACGCGCTGCGCTTCAAAAGCCAGCTGCTTCTATTCCTCCTGCTTCCCTAAGCGCCGCCGCTGCCATATTGGACCAGTGTTATTTATATGTATATAGCGGCTTCTTCCTCCTTCGCCCTCTTTCAGTGGCAAGTAGCAATTTGCGCAAAAAGAAAATATTAAATACTTACTTAGCGGGGCATGCAAATATTAATAATTCTCGCTTTTTAAAATACAGAAGTGCAGAAAAATTCGCTAAATTATCTCTATGTTTGGCGTGGCATGCAGCACGAGTATTTGCAAAAGCAATCATTATGAAAGAACCTTGGCGCTTATTTTCCTAAAGTGACCACTTGCTTTGCTCAAACACACACACACACGCGCGAATACGAGTTCATAAATAAATGTTTGAGCAATACAGCGCAAACTGAAAGCTTCAGAAAGCATAAATTCCATTTCGCTTTGCACACTTTAATTGAATTTCCTCAAGATTCATGTGACTTTACGGTCACTTTAATGTGTTTTCTGTTTGTACCGTTATATCACTGCGTTTTCTCTAAATCTATTATGGTTTTTAAATAACTTATTTAATTTGTTTTTCTCTTGCGTACATTTTCCTCATGTCCATAAATATTCTCTTTTAACTCATTTCCATTTGGCCAGCGTTGCCAATTTACGCACTGACCTCCAATCCATAAATTCATTTGTTGCCGATTGCCATGACAGTCATATCACTCCAGGGAGCAATACAAAGGGATTTTCAACTTTTCCACTCTGCATATGCTTATCTCTCCTCATTAAACACTTCATGGTACGCTTTCAGTTCTGCACTGTCTCCAGCCTCATTCATTTTCTTATTTCCTTGTTTTGTTTTGTCCGTTTATGCCACTGTACGAGCGTATGGTAGTTTCGTTTTTCTTTTGACCTTTTATGGGCTCCTCTCTTATCACATTGGAATATCCGTTGCAAAGTCGTTTTTCGGTCATTTTAAAATGTCCCAGTAGGAAAATGTTGACAAACATTACTAGATCATATATATCTAAATTACTACTTTTACAGTTTTATAGCTACAAGTATTTTTAAACTACTTTGAAGATTTACGTGGTCAAAACGCATACGAAATTGCAGAACAATAACAGCTTCATTTATTTTTCATAACTCTTCGCTTCTGAGTAAAATATTAAAATTGTCCACTTTCAAAGAACTCTATTGAGGCATGAGGATAAAATGAGGTAGTTTATATAGAAATCAAACAAACAAGGCAGGCGTATGCTCGGATGCACGAATTACATATTTACGAATGTTTTACGACTTAAAAGTGTGCGAAATGTTTCCAGATATCTGTCAAACTTGTTTATAAACCGAACGCCTTCATCTATGGATCATATTAAAACACCATATACTATAGGCTTCGAGCTCACTTGGTCGTATTAAAAATCATGCTTAATAACCGATACATCTGCCATAAAGATCACAGGACAAACAGAAATACGTATATTCACCAAATTAGTGCTGAGGGAAGTTATGGACAGATATCACTAATTTCTGTTTCCAAATCACACAAATAGACCAGTGCCAGAAGCCTTTGAAAATTGCAAAAAAATCATATTAGATTGAAACCCATTGGGAAGGGAAGAATAAGATAAATTACAAAAATGAAAGAAAAAAATAACTTGCGGGCGATCTGAGGTAAAGAGGAGAAATGGGAAGAGCGTGGTTAAATTTTAAAGGGTTGAAAACGGTTAACTCGATTTCCGGCAAAAGTGGTATGAAAAAGCTGTAGGTAATGAAAGCATCTACAACTTTTGTATCTTTACCTAACCTCAAAATGTATGTGAGTAATAACAATAATCAATTAGTTGTTTTTTTATTTTTATCTTTTACTAAAACATGAATTTTCTAGAAAACGTTGCAAAGGCACTGCGGAAGTTAAGGATTAATTATGAATATTTCTCGGTTGGAGTTACCACTTATTCAGACCAGTGGTTGACAAAAGTTCTGTTTTGATATGATATCTAATGTTGCTTGACTTATGTATAGATTGTATTTAGTTAAAAGCCAATAATGTAAATCTAATAGACGTAGTTTGATTCAAATTGGTAAAATACGTTAAGTTGGAGGAATTTTCCCCTTGAATCCCCTTGAAGATCCGTATGATGGCCTACCATATCATCCTAAACTCAATATATTGATGCCAAGTCCACATTTTTATACTCTTGCAACATGTTGCTACTGAGTATAATAGTTTTGTTTACTTAACGGTTGTTTGTATCACCTAAAACTAATCGAGTTATATATATATTATATATAAATGATCAGGAGGAAGAAACGAGTTGATATCCGGGTGACTGTCTATCTGTACATCTGTGCAAGCTGACTCTTGAGTTTAAATTGAGATATCTTAATGAAACTTGGTATACATGTTTCTGGGCGCCGTTAGACGGCTTAATCGGACCACTGCCACGCCCAAAGAACGCCATTAATCGAAAACTAAAAAATTGCCATAACTAAGCTCCGCAATAAGATGCAAGACTCTTACTTGGTATAACAAATCATATTAGGGAGGGGTATCTGCAGTTTACATTGTTTTTAAAGTAGGTGTGGTCCCGCCGTCTAATAGGTTTAAAGTCCTAAACCGCAAAAGCTATAATAACCAAATTCACTAAGGACATATATTTTAAGCACCCTTATCGACAGTGTTAAATTGGTGAAATCGGTTGACATTAAAACTACTCAAATTGCGATAACTCATTAAGTAAACCAGTCAGAGATGTGCAATTTTACATAGGAGCATACAATTAAGCTTTATAGAACCCAAAACAAAAGTTGGACAAGGGGCATGACACCGTCTACCTTTAAGGGAAAACCCATATCTCGGAATCTGCTCGACCGATTTCAACTAAATTCGGTATGTAACATTTTTCTGACATTTCTATGTTACATCTTATAATTGTTTAAATCGATTGTTCAAGTCCCTAGATACCGAATATTCGTATAGTTGACTGTTTATCAAAAATATCGGTCAATGTGTGAGATATATAATTGAAATTCGGAAAGAAACTACCTTGGTCTTAACCTCATACCCCTAATATAATGTGTTCCCATCTTCTAGTTGACGTTTTCCACATCAACTCAGTATGTTCTATTAAATTTAGCCTCTTCGGCCGAGTTAATATCACATACATATATCTCAATTGAAAGTGTTTTTGTAATATAATTTCAGCTGACGCGAACTAAAATATAGCAATGAAACCAAGTCTAAGTTTATGGTGTTATAAGTCAGAAATATACCAAATTTGATTGTAATTTATTCCTGATTTCATCGAACAATGGATGTTTAATTCTTTCGCAACATTTTTTAATAAAAACACCTGAAAAAGTATAAAAGGTTCGGTTAGACTTGAACTTCGCACTTACTTACATTTTTAATTTTGATTAACGCTAATTTATATACGTGGCTCTTTACTAAGGTAGCGTTCAAAAATTACTTGAGACATTTTTTTTACACTCCCGCACTCTGGTGAGATTTTCCTCAACTCTCTCCAATTCTCACGTGATCACCGCTGCTCTGCGGGGTTCGGACGAATACGACAAGTACTATCGTGTGAAATTTCGCCATATTTTTATTCTAGAAACATTTTTTACTTTAATTTAACATTACTTTCACATAATATTACTGCGTTTTCTACTAAAAAAAAATAACAAGTATTTGGTTAATGTATTGCCCGGCTCACTTATTTTCATGACCTGATCAGAACCATGTGTCTTTTGATAATTTTTGATTTTATTAATTGAAAATGTGATCAGTATGGACTGGATTCTTTCCTTAACAAATTCCTACAAGGGTTAGGCAACTCTGTGCCAGATTGCCTTAACCTCACAATTTTATTTCGTACAATACATTCAGCTGTGTGCAGTTAACAGTAATCGTAACATGTAGACAAGGCAAATGTGTGCCTTTGTAGTTGGTGAGAGTGTAAAAGTTGGGCTGTGGGCGTGACCAAAGACTGTTTTTGTATGGGCTTAGGCGCTTTTCTAACCCGTTTCACTTTCTACACTAACATAATCGCCTTGACTGCAAAATGTCTTAGTGACTTCTTCTCAACTCCAGCCGACTTTATTTATTTTAAAGGCTCACGGCTACTTACAGTTACTTAATGTATTGTTATTTGCTGTGGTTGTTGTTTTGAGTTTATTTTAAAGCCATCGCCTTTTATTGCGAATGTTTAGACATTCGAGAATGGCGTGAGCAAATGGACTTAATCGCTGTTGCTGTTTCGTATGTTGTAGCTAACTGTTTTTCGTAGCTATTTTAATATACCGCACCCCGCTGTCATTTCGGTGCTGATCCGCTTTGCCGCTCTCGCCCCAGCGGAAGTAAATTGATTTCAACTTTAGATTTATAACGATTGCCTAACTAATGATGGCCCATTCGTTCTGCTCGGCAACCGCTTAACGGCACGCAACGCTTGCTATCGACCGCCCACACAATTGCCGTTGTTTGTTTCTGCTAAAAAAAGCAGATAATATAAATTTCTATGTCTAATGTCTATTATTTGATTTTATATATCTAGGCGTGTAGCTACTTGAATCAAGAGATTTACATGCCAACGGAAAGGCCTATGTTCTTATTCAGCGCGCTTCGTGTAGCTCGTCAAAAAATTTATTACTTGCGAAATTTTAATGCCACACTTCTGTTTTATTTCGCATTTTATTTGCTAGCATTACTCGTTTGCCGTTTTTATTATTGTTGTTTATTTTTTATTTTAAAGCCACTTTTCACTTGCAGGACTGGGCGATACGCAGCGAGGAGCAGAGCTTGATGATTGAACGCGTCCTTGTGCTGATACGGAACGTGCTTCAAGTGCCGGCCAATCCGGAGGCGGAGTGTCGTGCCGATAACGATGCCAGTCTGCATGACCAAGTTATCTGGGCGCTGCATCAGTCGGGCCTCATGGATTTGGTGTTGTTTGTGGTGTCATCACCGGATGAGCATCAGTTTCATTTGCACGGTTTAGAGATTTTGTGTCTGCTTTATCGCGAACAAGTGAGTATCTGTTCATACTTATGCGACCAAGATGAAGTTGCTGCGAAGAATGCAGGCAGCGATGGTGGAGTTGATGGCGTTTGTGAGTGATGGAAACTGGCAGGCTGGCAGCGGATGAGTTAAGAGCCGCTAGACAGTGGTTGGTGAGAATTTAGTAGAGCTTGCAATATCCTTTAGCTCCACTAACTTGCAATTTTTAAATGGAAATGAGACATATTTGCTTTAATGGAGAAACTGCTCTGCTTGATAGTTTTCCAAAATTTAGTTGATATCTTCCCGAAGGATTTTGGCTATCATGTGTTTAATTTTAATGTGCTGTAAAATCTGCAATGTAAATGATGCATAATTTGTAACCTTTGGGCTCGGATAATTTTTTTCCTTGGGATTTAGGGCATCTGAAAGTTAGTTGTCAGTTTACTAAAAAGCAAATTTTTGAGAAGCAAAAAAAAGAAATGTTAAAGATATCTCGTTAAAACAAAAAATTTTCCATACAAGCACTTAATTCCGATCGTTCAGTTTGTATGTCAGGTAAATGCTATAGTGATCCGATATCGTCGGTTCCGTTAAATGAGCAGCTCAGTGGTGATAAAAGGTGTTTGCAAAATTTCAGATCGATATGTCAAAAACTCAGCGATTATTACGCGTATACACAGACAGGCAGACTGATCTGGCTAACTCGACCCACATCGTCACGCTGATCATTTATGTATATTTTTTATAGGGTCTCCGACTTTCTCCATTCAAATTGCATGCTTTACAAAAGTGCAAACATTTTTTATTTCTTTTTTTTCGTTGCTTTTTGACGATAGATATCTCGTAAACGCTTAACTTCATCGAAAAATTATAAATAATATAAAATAAATTTAAATTTACTTTTTTTTCATTTCATTGAGTTATAAAATTAAAAATAATAATAAAATTTACCTTAAAATAGTATAACTTCTAACTATTATCTTTTAATAGACCTTTTTGGAAGAGAATTCAACTTCCTACAGAATCTACAAAACGTAATATATTTGTTCAAGTCTATGTGGTAATAAGAAAAAAATAGAAAGCTGTAAGACGGAGGACCTCCCGTTACAATTAAGAGCTCATACTTGGAGAGACTTTCTCAGAGGTGTCGTATCAACCAATTTTTCAAAACTCTTCAGGATATAATAGCAATTCGTATGAACAATGTAGCATGAAATTTGATCCACTCCTCTAGTGCAGTTGTCAAAAAGTGAGGTTATGTTTTACTCTACATGACTTTGATGAAGTTAAGAGAGGCGTTCCATAGCTATATTTCAAAAATTCTTCAGGGTCTTGTCAAAAAAACTGTTACATCGTTATGATTTACCAAAAATAATTGGATCTGTTGACACCATCTAAACATATTAGACACCAAATGAGTAAGCTTATGAGGGTTTTTTCTTTTATAAATTTCAGTAAAAGTAGAATTCTTTTATAGACTTGACTGGTCCTCTTAGATTAATGATGACTCAATAGATAGCTTCGGTACGTAGTTTACACTGTAGAACATTCGAAGGTTTAAACTAGAAATACCTCATTGGTTACGCTTCTCGACAAAATACATATATGTATATATCTTTCTATAAGGACCCATATCAGGTTGTTCACTTGTGATTGACCGCTACTGCTGAAAATCTTAACCTTTTATTAGGGAAGAAGATAGCGTTTTAAGCATTCAGAGTTTGGATACATTATTTTGGTATTATTAGTCTAATTGTAACTTTATTTTGTCACTATGGTAAATCAGAGACACTTTCTCTTTGCTTCTTCTCAAAAGCAAATAAAAACAAGATTTACCTAAATAAGCTCTTTGACTTTAGTTTTAGAGAATACAATCTGCTGATGTTTACCAAAAAGCCAACAATCCAAACAATCTTTAATTCATCCTAAGATCCTAAGTACTACTACCGGCAGTTGTCGTAAGACAGTTTTCAGTCAAACTTCAATCGGGACATCGCCTTGTCGACAACCATTAAAAACTCTCTTAAAGTCTGTGAAATCTATTTAATATTAGCATGCTAGGCTTTTCTGCTCAGCGTGTTATGATCGCTACTAAACCCTTTCTTCAACTATTCAATTAAATACAATCGAGCATCATGAAATTTTCCACGCTGTCAACATTAACAACAACCCGCCACCAGCAGCTTATGCGTTGCCAACCACATGGAATGGCGAACGCAATGAACATTCCTTGACGCAGCCAACGATAATTTCACACACCTGGCAGCCCGCACTCACATCAGCTGCAAATAGTTATACCATACATACACATACATAGCACTACAGGCAGCTAACCTCAAAATGCACCACCGCTGCCCCCTTCTATCGCCCCTTGCGCGACCTAACGACGGGCATTAAATATTGCAAATATAACTGACGCTAATTTCCCTTTTAACAGACAGCCGAATCCCTAGCGGATGCATCGTTGCAACGCAGCATCGCCGAGAAGCAACGCGACGAGCAGGAATTGTTGGCAGCGCGCCGCCGTGAACGACAACGGCTTCAGAGCAAACCGCCGACGATGCGACATTCACGTTTCGGCGGCACATATGTAATACGGAATATGAAATCCGTGTCGGATCGCGACATCATTTGCCATCAGCCGTTGGAACGTGTTATGTCGATTGATTTCGATCGTGAGAAGAATCAGCAGAAGCGCTCATTTCGCCATGTCAAGGAGGAGGTCGAGCTGACACGGCGCAGTGCGTTCTCAGTGCGGTAAGTAGAAATATGCACACAATAGCATAAGAATACCAGCGAAAGGTTGAAATGAACAATGAAAAATGGAAAAGGTACCGCAAATGTTGAAAAATTCAATTAAGTGCGGTCTCACATATTGCCACATTCATTTTATTGTATATACATGTGCATACGTGTATGGATGCGTGTGTCTTTTATTAGCATTCTTTATTTGTGTAACTTTTTGTTCGTTGCATAAGTAAATGTTTGTATGTGTATATGCGTTCGTGCACTTGTATCTATTTACTGTGCCTTCGTGTTGGCCATTTCTCGTTTGCTTTGTAAATTAGCTTCATTTCAAATTCAATCAAATCAACGAAAAGCGTTCAATTACCTTTGCCATTTCCTATTTTTCGTTTTTAACCTTTCGTTTTTACTGTAATTTTTGGCAGTTGGCATCTGCTAACGTTATGGCAATTCAAGTAGATTAATCCCAGGTAGATGACCTCGTTCGATCGCAAACATTAGTTATTGACAAAATTTGTGCAAAAGATTGTTTTTCTGTTACCTTTGATTTGCTCTCTAGCTTAGTTTATTTTGTTACGATAATATTTAAGACCTAGGGTGAGGAATTGGATTTGGTAAAAATTCGGAGGCTGCTTGTATTTTCATTTGAATTACAGCAGTGTGTGTTCATGATAACATTGACTTTATATTCAGCTAGGAAATTGTGGACGAATCTACAATAACGCCTTAAACCTTTCTTTGGTTCTCAAGGTATTCTCTCAGACGCAATTTAGTACAGCTCTCGATTTTAGAGTATGAATTTACTTGGAAAATCAGGTAAAATTCAGAGTATGTGATGTGTTGTTAACCCGAAAAGGCCTACACCCCGATAGTCGAGTCAGCGTAACCGGAAGGATTTCTATCCGAACAAGGACTGTCAACTTGGGAAAGTTCTCGTACAACTACTAATAAATATAGAAAATTTAAGGGTCAAATCTGCATCTTTGTTATTTCTTAGCCGTTATATTACTCCTCAAACATTCGAATAAATCGTGAAAGAAAACTACTTTGGTTAGGAATTCGAATTCATCGTCTTATCTCTATATGTTTATGATGACTACTTAAAGCACTTTAGTAAAGTGACCTCTCCATAATTAAAGCATACTTTGGAGGCATTTAATTTTTTTTTTGTACCCTGAACAAGATAATTCTACATTATAGAGTATATATATTAATGATCAGCGTGACGAGCTGAGTCGATTTAGCCGTGTCCGCTTGGCGGTCGGTCAGTCTTTATATACTCGAATTACACCTTTAGTATATGAGATATCGATCTGACCCTTTTCCTCCAGCAACTGTTCATTTGTCGGAACCGCCGTTATCTGATCATTCAAAATCAAGTCCTTGTGTGAGTCGGGTTCGAGTTATTTTCCAAGGCAACGAATCGAATCACTATAGCATATAGCTGCCATACAACTTATTGATTCGGTGCAGACGAAGTTAACGTTTTTTCTTGTCTTTAAAATATTTTGTGTTAGGCATTTTGTGCGCCGGCAGGTCTTATGAACAAGTATTCGGATGCTTTTTCTGTCGATTGCCAAGTTTATCATATTATATATTAAGATCTCTCTCTTTTGTTCAATATACTCGTCTTTAGTTAGGTTTTCGCCACATCCGATGGCAGCGGATTATATGGTTTCTGTCCGTTATTCTTCGTTGTGCTAAGTCCTCCCGAGTTCACAGAGTAGCAGGCTTTAGTAGCACATTTTATGACTGTCTATTGTAATAGTTTGATAGTACATAAAGTTATCTATATACCGCCCGGCAGACAGACTGATGCACAGGGAAAGATGGCAAGTTCCAAACTTTACGGTATATACAAAAATATATTATATCGTATACAAAGAATCATTAGGTATAGCGTTCAAATATATTTATAAGCCTTTAATTTTTCTCCTGATAAAGTATTATATTATAGTAAGTTGAGTTCTTATTGTGTTTCTAGCTCGTTCCAAGTGCTGTACGCTGGTCCTTAGAAAATTACACGTATTCTGGGGTATTTATATTATAGTAGGATAGCACATGAACTTGCTGTTGTAACTATTGTTAAAATTTATAAAATATATTGTATAATCTATAATTTTTAAATACTATCCTAGAGTTTGTTACAGATAAATTGCCAAAATACAATAACCAAATATTTCACACATTTTTGTTTCGTAATTTACCTTGTTTATATGAAAATAATGTATGGGGTAATTTTTTGTTGTTGCTATTTTTTATTTACCCCATAAAATATGCGCTCAAACGTAGCAAAATAATAAATATAAAACACTCACCTGCACAACACGTGACATTGATGAACTTTTACGATGTGACTGGTTGACTAACGTACTCTGAAGTCAGTGCACACGTCGTTGATATGTATCAGCTGAAGTGCCACGAACAATACAATACGTTCGTTGGCCAAAGTGTATGAGCTTTTATTAGCTGACAAAGCGTAAACATTCAGCAATTACTCGTGAGGTTGCGCATACGCCACGCACGCTGCCATACAACAACCACAACAACAACGGTGATTGAGAACTTCTCGTAGTTATTTGCTCCGTGTGCAGCGCATGTGGTGTAAATAAATTAAAGGTAATTCCACTTGTTCGCGGCACACACTTATTGTGAAGTTAAAAATTGAGATTTTTAATTTTTTCTTCAGTAATAAATGTGGATTATTAATTAAATTTTTTGGAAATATATTTTTATTTTAATTTGTTATTACTGCTGGCTAATTTTTGCAATATACTGTAGGTTGCATGTTACTTAAGTTTTAGGCTTCGTCCACTGCGATTATTTATTCGTTTCACTTCTCACTCACCTTTTTCACTTTAAAGTAAAAACACGGCGTATACAAAAGGGTAGCACGGGCGGAATATCTCGGACGTCTCGTCGGTTCGATCGCTAACGAAAAAAGGAGCGGTTTTGTCCTCTGTTAGCCCCTTTTGAAGGTTGAGTTGTGTAGAGTTGTGTGATGTGATGTGTATGTGTGGGTGTCTGTGGGGTGTGATGTCTGCGTGGTGTGATGGTGTGTGTTAGTGGGTGGAGTCTTCTTGTGGATCGTGTTGGTGTGGTGTGTTGGCGCTCAGTGGCGCGTATGGAGGGGGGAGGCGTAACTCATTTAGCCAGCGATATTTATAATAAAATATACTTATGTATATAACTCAAATGATATACCATATATCTGATATATGTAAATTCAAACTGAGGGGCTAAATATATAATATTGGGTCCATGAGAGTGTGAGTGTGAACCACGTAATTCATTGAACAATATATTTGTCATACAGTCTGCTAAAATAACGATAATCATTATATATATGTAGTATATGGAGGCTGGGAATTCTTGGATCGATTTCTCACTAACAAAATAAAACCTGATCAATATTAGAAGTTGACTAAATTCTCTCAAGATTTCGTACATAGTGACCAATATACGAGGTGTGTTCAAAGGAAAAGGTGAATTTTGAATTTTCTTGAAAAGTACTTATTTATTCATCAATATCTATTTTGTCCCCTTCAAAGTAATCCCACCTCGGATATAATACACCTGTGCCAACGCTTTTTCCAATCCTCGAATCACTTCTGAAATGCGCTTTTCGGTATGGCCATCAGCTTTTTCTTCGATTCTGACTTGATCTCATCAATAGTGGCAAAACGCTTTCCTTTCATTGGTTTCTTCAGTTTTGGGAATTGGAAATAGTCGCAGGGAGCCAAATCAATCATTTGAACAAACCCGGATCGCTGTTGATGTCATTCAACAATTTCTGAGCGATACTCAAAATTTAGCAATTTCGGAACAAACTTCGCTGCCATACTTTTCATGCCCAAAAGATTTGAGAAAATTTAGTGGTATGAGCCGATTGATATGGCAACATCCTCTGCAACTTCCCTAATAGTGATTCGACGATTTTCAACACTTCAAAGTGCCTTCGAGCACTTTATTCGATTTGTAACGTAAATTCATATTCCTTGATCCATTTCTTTCAAAAGTCATCGAAGAGCACACAAAAACGTGACTAACCTTTTCTGTCGTATAAATATTGAATTTCACCAAAATGTGGGCGTGTGCGTTTTACAAACGTCCTTTTCTCCACAAGAAGCTGCTCATTTGTCGGAACCGTCGATATCGGACCAAAATCGAGTCTAGCATTGACATATTAAAATGCGTTTAAATGAGCTGAAGACATACACACATTTGTAGTAGAAGGGTTGAGGGTTTCAAATAATAATTTGTTGCTGTTGTTGTGATGCTTCTTCAGAAAGCAATTATTTGTTATAAATATTCGCATAAACTCTCTTTGATACCACCATTTGACCGCAGGATAGAATATTTTCAAACAAATATTTTTATTTCATATTGTTATTGTTTTTACCTCACCGCCTGCAGTTGAAGCATTTAAACGGCTAATAAGCACAGACATTTCGAAAGCAAAGTCAAGTGGAGTCAAACGGAGCAATCTATTGCAAATGACAAGATAGAAATAAACGAAAGCAAAATTTTCAACTCTTACACTGACCGTGACTGTGAAGATTGTGTGGTAACGTAAGCACATATACAGAAGCCGTAATAAAACAGCGCAAATAATAAGTTTATCTTGTAAAGTGGTCGCCTCGCCACAATTGCTTTGAATCTGCCCTGAACCCTTATGAGCAGTATGCAGCTGTCGAGCGCAGCCTCTTACGCAAGCAAATCACAACAAGGCAACAACAATAATGATAATAATAATTGTGTGGTAACACAAAACCGCGGTGTGCGAGATAAATCTAGAGAGAAGTATTTTTAAAAAATATCAACTAAACATCGATTGCAAGCCACGAATGCTGCATTTGCTATATACTCATGCATATAGACATCTATATATATTTATCTACCATGTACTCCTAAAGCACTTTAGCCTTTCGCCATTGCCCTTTCCATTCTAATTGAGTGCTTTGCTGCCTTCACGGCGGATTTTTATTTTCGTTTGAGTCGCGGCGCCTTGC